CCTACTCTCCTATGAAGAAAAGGAGGAGAGATTCGCCAAGCCATCTGGAAGCACGCCGAATCACAAGGTACCGCTTTCCCAGCCTGGTTATTTTTAACTACAATGTACATTTTTATGCCTAAAGGCAGGAAAAAAACGCTTTTGGCGGTCCCACCCACCACCTCCTCGTTTGGACTCGTCCCCAGCCTGAAATCTTTCCCCCGTGTTGATGAGCTGTGTACCTTGAAATGGCATTTAGCCCAAGGATGAGATAATCGTCAGCTTTAAAGTCACCACAGGTGCAGAAAGAAACAGATGGTGAACACAGGCAATTTGAAATGTAAAAAAAAAAAGTAACAAGAGCAAATTCTGTCTGCCACAAAGTTAGCTTTTACTTTTCTTTACTTTCACACTGATCTTAGAAAAGGTCTAATGATAAACTCAGAGACATTACAATGAGACGTTTTATGTTATTATGCTGAACTGCTCTGTAGAGCTGAGGGGAACTATACGGTCAGGTGATAATTTGTTGTGTGTTAGTGACGAGTGACCTCTTTCACATTATAAAAATATTGATTAGGTTGACTTTAAGATTGATTACAAAATACACATTGCAGCTTTAATGTCAGTTTCTTATCTTTCTGCGTCTCCACAGTGCCAGGAAGCGACCCATCCCTTACTTCCGACCGAGTCCTTCGTCCAGCAGTCGCTCCACCAGCGTTTCCTCCTGGAGCAGCCTCTTCACCCGCAGCCGCAGCCGCAGCCCGATCCACAGCGTCAGCAGGAGCCGGAGCCGGAGCCGGAGCCGGAGCCGCAGCCGGAGCCACAGTTACTCCTCCTACAGGAGCTACAGTCGCAGTTCATCCTGGAACTCAATCTTTGGGACCCGCAGTCGCAGCCGGAGCCGCGGTTCGTTGCACAAACGTAACAAAACCAGGCATTAAGTTTCCCAGAGCACATTAAGGGACTGAAGCGCCAGCCGGGTTTCCACTTGAGACCGAGGACAGTGGATGTTGGAGCAATCGACTGTGTGTGTCTCCGTGCTCCGCTTTGACGCTTCAGTGGAAATGTCCCAGCAGGGGGACACGGCCGCGGTTTTCACGAGGCAGTCTTGTTCGCTCTGCCCACAGAGACCACTGGAGACTGAATGTCTTTCTGTTTGTTTGGTTTGTTCTTGTACTGCATCCTCTTGCATCAGCACTCACAATGGCCTGCGACTGTTCATCTCTTAGATATTTACAGTAGAAGCTGCACATAACAAACACTATCCCTCTATTACTCAACCAACATCTCTCTGCACATCCCATTAAATTATTCTTTTAAATTAATGCTTTAAACTGATAAATGTGATATTTATTTTTCAAAATTGATGGTTCTTTAAAATGAAGTGTAATGATAAGGTTTAAATGGCTTAAATCCCATTCAATTTTTTTTCTTGCAATATGCAGATTCACCAGTTAAAGAGAGAGTCTGAGAGAGGCCGCGTTTAACAGGACATCAAACATTTACTATCCCGTGACAGTTATGTGTGTCCTAGATTTTGCACCAATAAGTGAGGCGCCGAGGCAACATTTGAGCCGTGTGATCCAGCTGTTTACAAATGGCTTCAGAGGGATCGTTATCGGGAATAAGGAAAAAGGTTTTACCGCTCTGATCTCAGCACTTCACAAGGTGAAGAACAAAACAAAAATGAAACGGAGAGGGCGGCCCGACAGCAAGCAAACTGCCTGTCAGCTCAAATGTCAAATTAATTTATCCTCTGATCAAGTGGAAAACAATTGAAATGTCAGTCCATGTAATACCACAGAGAGCAATCACAACACTGCACGGGGACGGGGGGGGGGGTTCTTTTGACAAAATGTTCAGTGTTTTTTTTTTCTTGACAACACATGACAAATAAAACATTGAATGAATTTGCTGTTAAGGTTAAAGATGATTTCAGAGCTGAAATCCACATCTCGGGCTGTTGTTACACCGTCTGCATCAGTCTGGTTTCTGTTTATCTGATTCTTTCGAAGTCCAGGATAAAAAAAAAAAAGCAGAACCTCGTCTGGTTGCAACCTGTTGAAAATAAGCCTAAACTTACGAACAGCACTGATTCTTGGTTTACTTGAATAATGTATTCTTGCTACAACACTGGCACCAAACACATATATCAACTGTGTTATATCACGACGTAAGGCCAAGATTTGAATTGTGCAGCACCATACATATTTATTACTTATTTAATATTTATTGGTTTGTTGTCCCTCTCAGTAGTGGTCAATCTTTCTATGCAACACTGTCAATTTATAGTTATTATGACACTGCTGTAATTTATTTTTGGTCTGTTGTAAATTATTTTGGCGCCTAACTCGCACATAAACCTCAAAGTGGCAGCAGATGTTGAAAAGACAGAGGAGCGGCAGAAGAGATCCTTCCTGTCTGGCCTTTTGTCTGTGGTGCTTCTTTTTTCTTTTTCTTTTTTTTTAAGTTTGACATTTTGGGAAAAAATATCTTCATTCGCTTTTCTTTGCCGAGAGTTAGACGAGAAGATCAAAACCACTCTCGTTTCTGTTTGCTGAATTTGAAGCTACAGACAGCAGCCTGTTAGCTTAGCTTAGCATAAAGTTTGAAAACGAGGGCTCTGTTCGGAATATCCACTCGCCAACTATATAGTGAATCAAACATTTTGTAGAGCTCAAATGTAAAATTTTTGTCTACAAAAAATTTCTACTACAAAATAGTTGCGAGGCACATCAAAAGGTGATGTACAGAAGATGTACACTACATCGATCAAGCTAGACCATCATGCATTTCGGCCTGTCTCGAGCTGTAGGTGAAGTCAACTCGCTAACAGGTTAGCTGCTAACGTTAGCTGCTGGATTTTCAGTATCAGGTGAGCCACCGAGGCACGCCTTCGATTATGTTTTGAAAACGGATGAGTAAGAACTGACAGATGCCTCATATGTGATGCAGATGCAGAAATAATAATTACAAATATCAGGGATAAAATGATGTAGCAATTTAACTTCCAAGTAGAGACTGAAATGTATCATCTGCTGTCTGCACTTATCCCTCAGCAAGTCTTCTGTGTAGCAAACTCTATATGGTGGGTGAGTGGATGAGTGAGCGAACAAGTGGACAGTCCACAGCCAAGTAGTCCAGCTCTGTTGAAGGTAAAGAAACTGTCATTATATGTAGTTTAAAACAACAAGTTGTGGTTTTGTGGTGGCAGACATGTAACCCCTGTAAGACCGCAACTTGAAGGTTTTACTCTTCCGTTTTGGTTTGGATAAAGCAAACAAGATATTATGAGTTAATTAGTGAGCTTTTGAGCTGCTGTTTTTGTTGCCTTTGAACAGAGGCAACAGACGCTCTTCACATCTGTTTCCATTCTTTTTGCTAAGCTATGTTAGCCAGCAGCTGATCATAGTTTCATATTTATCTCTCACAGACACGAGAGCGGCATCGATCTGCTCGTCTAATTCTAGAAGAAAGCAAATAAGCATATTTCCCAAAATGTCAAACTGCTCCTTTAAAGTTGATTTTCGAGGCTGCTTCGGCTCCAGAGTTTGAATCTGCAAAGTTTGAAACTGCCTTTCCACATAATTAAGAGTTATATTTCTCAATCATTTCAAATCCATCATCCTGTCTGTGTGACTGCTCCAGGCCTGACAGACTGCTCTCTATGCACTCAATACTCTCAGCTTATTTCCCTGAATGTCAACTAAATTGGACGAATGAGGGAAATATGACGCCGGAAGAGGAACAAACTTGGCACGAGTCCCCCATAAACTATGAACTGATGATGACTCGTGTCACCCGGTGTTGACTAGGTGCCAGTGGATGATTTGTGCAGTCATGTTGATAATCTTTCTGGACGGGCACCCGGGCCAGCGCCCCCACCCACCTCACAATGTAAAGTTTACATCAGTTCTTGTGCAAAACGATTTTAAATATGTAATTACTGTGGTGACAATATGCATCTGCATTGTATGGATTATACAATAAGGTGTGGTTATTTGATTTTCAGAATGTGACTCGGGCCTTGTTGGATGTTATGGATATATGACACGTTGACCAGTGAAGTAGGAAAATAAGACAATATGCCAGTCAGGCATCAGTCAGTGGACTCTAGATGTCTTTGTGTATAAGATCCCTCTGATCATGTCTTGTTATTTTAAAAACTCCAATAACAAGCTCATATAGCAATAGTGCTCCGGTGTTTCAGTGTTAAATTATGCATAATCTCCCCTTTTTATTCCATAGGAAGGCACATATTGCAAAAGCATATGTTTTTTTCATACTGTCACATTTTATCCTGTGTCAGTGTGAATTCCACATTGTAATAATGTTTCACCTGGAAATTGAATTGTCCCTGCCATAACCCCATGAAATCCCCCCCCCCCCCAACCTCCCCCTCTTTCACTGCGTGTTCAGAATAAGCTATATATAAAAAGAAAAAAAAAAAATCATGTTCTGAATAAAACGCCACCGCAGTCTTGTTTTATGTCCTAGATGAAAACACACCGCAGTGAATAAGAGGCCGTCTTCCTCTAAGGTGACTTGTTAGCTGTTTTGTTTTATCCGTACTGTGACATCAGCGCGTTTGACATGAAGCTCTGCGCTATTTTCTATTAAAAAGCCAGTGAGTCACGCAGAGGAGGGAGCTCCAACTGTGTGTGACTGACATGTGGACGGTAACTTAATTTGGTAAAAGGGGGAGGCTGGTCTTAGGTCAGCTGTTGCCTTTACACTGTAAAAAAAAAAAAAAATCCACATCAGCAAGTATTTTTATCTTAATTTAAACCTTTTCGCGTGTTTTGACCGGGACACACGGCTGAAAGGTTCACGTGGAGTAGAACAAGAGGTTCTTTTATTCCCGTGTGTTTCTACTGTAAAGATGTGAAGGTTTAGTATTAGTTTTGACGTGGGTGTTTTTTTGCAGTGTGAACGCTCTCCAGATCCTCCCAGCACTTTCCCGTCACTTGCTCTGTGCGGACTCACCGTCTGGGAAATCGGGGCCAGTATAAAACCCGCCGCCAGCAGGAATTAGATCAGTTCACTTGAAGGTTTTAAGAAAGTTGATGTCAACTTGGGAGTTTGTTGTTGGATCAACAGGTGATTGATTGCGTAACGGTGATGCGCGTAATCCAAAAGAGATAAAGTTTTACCACACAGACGTATAGGACGTTTCTGATTAAAAAAAAAAAAAAAAAAAAAAAGTTTTGGTTGAAGGTTGTTTTGGTACAAGAAGCTGAACTTTTCCCGGTTCTGAACTCGGCTGGACATGGCAGAGGGAGACTTCTACACTATGGGAAGCCGGCAGAGGTTTCCCAGGGATCCTTTTGGAGAGTCACCGTTCAGGGATCAGTCTCCGTTCAGGGATCAGATCGCGTCTCGGTTTATGGATGACGAATTTGGGATGCCACCTTTCCCCGATGATCTGGCGATGGACTGGCCGGGCTGGGCTCGGCCGGGCCGGCTAAGCACGCGCCTCAGCACCTCGCCTTTCAGCAGCAGTTTACGCTCAGGTTTCCCCGCGCGTCAGTCCGCGGGAGGCCCCGCGCTGTACACCAGCAGGTACGGAGAGCCCTCGTCCCGGAGCTCCCCCACCACCACCGGGGGGGAGCCCTGGAAAGTTTGCGTCAACGTCCACAGCTTCAAACCAGAGGAATTAAACGTGAAAACGAGAGACGGGTTTGTAGAAGTGTCAGGTGAGTTGGATGCTGTGGCAGAGATGTGAACTAAATTTAACCACTACGTGACTTTCCAACCAGGTTCACTGGAGAAACTTTATGTACATTTGCTATTTGTTACCCCTGTGATGTCTTATGATCATCAGCTGGAGGTCAGAGTGAACGCACTGACAACCATCAGGTCATACTGATATGAGAAATCGTCCTTTCAGCTTTATTTATAGAGCACGTTTAAAAACAACACCTGCTGTCCAGCGTGCATTTAAACATGGGGTACAAATGAAAACACTGAGGTCATGTCCTTTGAATTGCTCATGAGAATTTGAGGGTTTACTTATAATGAGCCAGGTCCAGGTGATGATATATCTTTTTTTAAGGGTGTATTCTGCTGTTGTTTAGTCTTTAAACGTGACTTTCTAGGCCAAAAATCCTATAAAATGTTATATTATTTTGATGTATTATTTAAAGTTGTATTATTTTCTCTATAAGAACTGCATTTCTTGGCTTTTAAACGGTTTTGAAAAACAAATAAGTTCAGTCAGATAAAAGGCGACAGAAAATACAACTGAGCAGTTATAGTTATATTATTTCTAATTCAGGTTTACATGCTTTTTCTGCCCTGTTTCTTAGAGGTGTAGTATTTCACTGAGGGAATTTGGACCTCTGACCTCAGTATTTCCAAAACCTGTCACTACAGCACTGCTTAGCCCCTCAATATCTTTTGTATTGTTATTCACGTGTAGACAAAATGTCTTTAACAGGCAAGACAAAGCACCGTGTGAGACATAACAACAAAACAACACCTAAGTAGGAAACTATCTGAGGATCCTCTCACTAATCTGGCCAAGAAATATCATCTCTTTCTCTTTGGCAGCAGATTTGAAGCAGTACAATGAAAGCCTCTGCGGTAGGCCTCCAACATGGTCTCAGCAATAATGAGTCTTGATTTGGAAGAGCCGGACAGATTTTGGGGACTGGGACTCGCACGTTGGCAGGCAGATCCTCAAGCTTAGACACCTGTTTCAGATTCCTGGAGAATCATTCCCTCAGTCACCCATGAGCTCGATTTAGATTTAAGGCAAGGCCCGTGACAACAGTCTCTGTTTACAATAAGACAAGCGGCTTGCTGCCATTAAACACTGGAGAGAATGTTCTGGAAATAGGACCTCGCTTTGACCTGGCAGGGCAGTCTGTGTGCAGGTTTTTGTCTCCCCTGGCGTCACGTTCAATCTCCGTCACTTATCGTGGGAGTAAGTTATAGCAGTCGCTTCCTCAAGTCGAAGCTTCGCAGGACGAAGTTGAATTCCAGGGACACCCGGGACAGAGGAGGGCACAGAGGACAGCAGGCCCCCTGCACTCTGAGCTTTTTTATAAGCACATTGTTGGTATGCCAGTTGGCCATGTTGGGCCTGCCTGCCACAGCGACTCGACCCTTGTTCTAAAAGTGTGACAGGGAGTGTGATGCGAGCTTCAGTGCATGAATTAACAAATCTTTAACAAGGAAGCGTCTGTGACACGGCCGTGATGTACAGCATGTTTCTGTCTGGTTAAAAACTCCCTGGAAGATGATTCATAATGTGACAACTCTGTCACACACACAGGCACGGCTGGATTAACCCTGTAAATGGCAGAAATGACCAATGGGCTCCTAATGATTAAACACAGCTTTAGAATTAAAGGCATTTCGACAGTTGATCAGATGGACACAAACCAAGCTGACACACAGTGGCTGTTTTCTTGGGTTAGGAAGGTGGAAACCTCTCAGTAAGTTGTGGCAGATTGGCTGGGTCAACGAAGCATCGCATCTTCCACAAACAGTCAATGTTGTTTTCTGTTAACAACCAGAATCCTTCTGTAAGTGACCACAAATCTTTGAACTCATACACTCATCTTCTATTTGTGTCACAGACTGTATTAGGGGCTGAACAATGAATCAAAATATTGAAATTACAATATGGCCAAGTGCAATATAAGTTAATATTAATAGTTTCTTTTTGATGTTGAGGTAAAATGTATCACAACAGACCATAGATGAGGCATTGTGGTGCTCCAGAACCTTCCAGTCATTTTCTCCAGATGTAAAGGAACATGTCTGTTTGGCACAAGCCCAGACAAAAAATTACATCATCATCATTTTTATATTTATTTCAGTGAAAACAAAACGCAGCAATGACCATTTCAACAGAAATCATGACTCATGTCGCAACATATGCCAAAAATAATTGCAATATGGTTTCTTTTGCATATCGTTCAGACATAGACTGTATAAAATAAGATTTGTATCCTCCATAATGATGACAATAGTACTACATTTATTTACAAAGGGCCTTGCAGGACACCCAAGGACACCTTAGAAATCCAATAAGACATTCAGAACATAAAATCAAAGATATAATCAACAGCAGCAACAATGAAATATATATATATATATATATATATATATATATAACGGTCATGGCCTGCTACAGTTCAGTCTTTTAACTGCTTACACCTTTGTAGAAGTAGAGCTGCCAAGCTGTATCCAGATGTGTGAGGTGCCATCAGGCCAATGTCACTCCTTCCTGTTTGTTCTGGTCGTGCCTGGATCATCATCTTCATCTTCACTCCGGACCCTGTCCCTGGCATTTTCACAACTCTCCCCAGAACGCGCATCGTTCCCCAACAACCCAATCAGAGTCCATCATCATCTCTGCTCCCCCGACGCCTCGTCCTCCTTACATGGAAAATCAACAGCACTCCCATGTCACACACAGTGGGTTAGGGATGGGTTAAAGTACACCACACAGAAATTGTACAAGATGACGAGATGTGGAGTTACTTTGGTCGAGGATTTAGCAACCTTGGGTACGCCCCCCCCCATCAATTAGGATAAGGCACCATCTGCTATCTCTCCTCCCAGAACATACAGTATTACTCAGAGCATCTGGAATTTGGCGTCTCTGTCGTAAGAGACCAGAAAACAAGGGAGGCGCAAACCTCGTTTATTCATGAAGTATCTGGGGAGGGAGCAGTTTAACGTCTGAAGTCACGATGAGGTTTTCATAATAATCTCATGACTTCACTGGCGATCTTAGCTCAGTTGTCTCTGGAGTTCTCTCTGGTGGAGTCCAGCACTTTCGACAGGCAGGGACGTCACTGTGGGGGTATAAGGTAGCACATAGTGGAGCCTGGGGGTTGAGGGGTGGGGCGGGCCACGCTGCTGGCGGGGGCGTTGACATTTAGCAGCCCCAGAGCAGCTGCTGGCGAGCCCGAGAGATAGAACGGCCAAAAACAGAGCTCGGAGGAGTAGGCGGAGGGAGGGGAGGGCAGAGGGGGGGTTCCAGGCCTAGCTGTTCTCCCCCAACTTCAGACCAACATGTGTGAGTGTCTTTCTGCAGGAGACCCATTTTTGGAAGCAACTAAAGGCAATGAGCGGGTGTTTCATCATTTCAGCGTGTTCGTTGTAACCTGCCCGAGAGGAGAGGAAGCAAAAACACTGCTGGGACTGAGCAATGGAGAACCTGTGCGCGCCACATGAAATCTGTTTCGATCTCACTTACATCACAACACCTTTTCATTTATACCCCTAGTAGAGCCATGTGGTAATATATGATGACTGTCCTGTTCATTTATAATCCATGACCTCGCTGAACTATTGCACAATGTTGAACGTCATCATAAAGTCGTGTAAGGTCACTCACCTCACTCGCCTATGTGCTGATGTGATTTTTATTCTTCCTCACAGGGAAACACGAAGAGAAGCAGGAAGAAGGAGGCATCGTGACAAAGAATTTCACAAAGAAGATACAGTGAGTATAATTTCAGTGACCTCCGTTCATCACGGCTCTCTTTTCCTTGTTTTCTCCGCAAAGGGCTTCATATATGTGCGGCCACATATTCCAGATCTACAGTTTACTGCTTGTGCGTCCATTGAGCTCATATGGTTCTGAGGTCGCTCTAATAGCTGTGGACTAATAGAAATATTACAGGAGTTAAGACTTTTATGGTGGCAGTGTTAAATTAAACTGGTTATTTTACTGTGCACCACTGTTGTAGAACATTAGCTTAAGTCATACATAAGAATGCTATAGAGCTGTGGCTCCCAACCAGGGAGGCCAGAAAATGACCAGAGTACCAGGGTAGAAAAACTATATATATATATTTTTTTTTTTTTTAAACTAATCTCTGATACATAAAATTCTGTTTTTTTTCCCTGCATATTTTACCTTTTCACACAAAAAAACACAATAGGAAGTTAAGGTCCTGTTGTTTTTTTCAAGCCAGCCTCTGTCACAGAAGCTTCAGCCAGAAAACATATTTATATATACATACATACATATATATACATACTTTATACATATTTTAAAGTCACTATGTGTCTGATTTGAAAGTTTCTGATCGTACTGGTTGATATTAAAAGTAGACATCACAACTTCCTCCTTCCCCCACGAATCTGACACCTGCTGAAAGACACAAACAGACTTCAGCAGTTTTCACTGGGATTGACTAATTCTTCTACAAACACTGCAAAACTTATGCAAACGGAAGGATTTAAAAGATGTTATAATCACATATGAATTCTGCACACAGTGGCCTAAACCAAGATAAAACAAAATGTATTTATTGGTCGTCACTAACAGCTCCAGTGAGGCTTTGATAAAAGCCATATGACATCATCACTGATCACTGATGTCCCTCACTTGTAAGTGGCTTTGGATAAAAGCATCTTCCAAAAGAGTAAATGTAAATGTATTTATCTGTTCAGAATGTAAAAGTCAATACCATGTCCACATCTCTTACTTAAAATAGTTTAGAACAGCTGCTCCAGACTCATATCAGCTCTGAGTGGACAAACAACCCTCCAATCAAAACCTGTCAGCTACAGCCAGTTGCCGCTGACAAAAACAACACCTACGAATACTGTACTGAAGCAGGCACTACATGGATAAGTACTGGTGTGCAGAGCAGCCTTCATGTTGTACCGCAAGTCCACCGGGCCACACAAGTTCCCACAACCTGCTCGTCTCTCTCCGCCTCCGTCGCTTTTTTAATTGGGCAGTGGGAAGACTTCAAACAGCAGCACTAATCACTGGCGCTGACCGCCGTCTCGCAGGCGCGTCACTCCAGTTCCGCTTATTTCCTGTTGGCTAATTGGTAAGCAGTTGTGCTAGCCCCGCACCCCTGCCCATATCGCAATCCTTTTAATTGGGAAACCTTCAGATCAGGCCTGCGCTCATCAGCAGAGCAAAACCTGAAACCAGTGACAGCCTGAATATATAGAGGAGAGAGGGAGAGAGGGAGGGAGGGAGGGGTCATATATAAATAACTGGCCTCAATACACAAATCCACCAGCTATATGAAAGTGAGAGCAAGGCAGGGAGGCAGAGATAGCATGGAGGAGACATTCTTTTGCATAGTTAGTGTGGCTCAGCTTTTATTTTTTATTCTGTCTTTTTGCAGCAAAAAACTTTATCTATGCTTTATTTATTTCTGCTTGAATTCCTCAAAGAATAATATATATCAAGATTTGAAAACCATGATGCAATCCAGCCTGACATGTTTAAATGTAAGACCCGTTTATACTTACTGTATCATTATTACCCTCTGTACCTCCAAGTGTACAGATCCTTTAACTCGGTGAAAGTAGCAACAACACGCTCTAAAAATACTCAGTTAGAAAGTGAAAGTCCTGCGTTCAAAACTTCTCTCAAATTAAATAGAGCTGAAATGATTAGGCGATTAGCTGATTTGTCGATCAACCAAAAGATTAAGCGGCAATTATTTGGCTGATCTGCTTTTTTGTTTTTTGTTTTTTAAAACTACGCCAAAAACTAGTTTCAACGTTTTATTGTGAGAATTTGTGGCTTTTCTTTCTCTAATGTGATAACAAGCCGTTTGAAGGTGTGATGGACATTTTTCACTATATCACTGATATTTTATAGAATAAACTATATTATCTAATTGAGGAAATAATTGTCAGGTTAATCAATTATGAATAAAATCATGTCATTAAATTATTGGATTATTATTCAATATCATTTTAATGTTGCAGCTGGTGGAACTTTAGCTGCCTTACATACAGCTGGGTATTTAAATTTATAACAGTTTATAATATATTTTATGACCTGAACATACAGTATGTGTCACATTTAAAAACATTTTCTGCAAAGTAACTGAAGTAACTGTTAGATTGCCTCAAACACAGTTAAATGTTACCTCCCACCACAGCAGCAGTTTAAGTAAAGTACCTTGATGTTTCTGAGAAGTTCACAGTTAATCACAGAAATCAATAGACTGGTAGAACATCGTCATGGATCACAATAGACTGATGAGATACAGGAAACAGTGCAACAAGTTCCAGGAATACATTTTACTGTTGAACTCCCTGATCCAAACGAGTTAGAAATACGCCATTTATTAACCAAATATGTTGTTTGTTAAATCCATCCTTGAGGGCAAAGGTGACTTTCTAACTTCAGGTCACGCAGCTGTAACACAGTGTGCTCGATCTGCGTGCGTGCGTGCGTGCGTGCGTGCGTGCGTGCGTGCGTGCGTGCGTGTGAGTGTGTGAAAGTGTGAGCGGCTTTTTATTCAGGAATCTCATGTTCTGCCTCTGTCTCTGTTCTCGTGAGACATAATGATATCACTCAGTCCACATGTGCGCTGTGTCTGGGTGTGTGGGAAGGAGCATATGGGTCGTATGTTTTACACACTACACCCTCTACATGAACACACACACACACACACACACACCTCCTGTCAGGCCTCACTGTCCTGTCTCTCTCTGTCTCACCATCTCTGCAGGGGAAAAGCATATTGGACAGTGTTTTGGCAGCTGTACAAAATCAATGTCTGAGATAAAATGTGCACTTGCTAGAGGTAAATAAACTCCCCAAGCTGGACAGATAAGGTTTCCGCCGGAGTCCCACGTAATGGGCCGGCTGAGTGATTTGACTTTGTCAGAGGGAGCAACTTTGCTTTGCGGCAATTGGCTCCTTGAAGGAAGGTTGGTGGGGGGGGGCAGAGATACTGAAACGTGTGTAGACATCTGTGTGGCTAGAACTGGAGTTAATACTGGCCAACACCGACCTCAAATATTAACTTTTAAATTAATTTTTACTGTAAAGTATTTTTTGTAAAGCATTAGCGTGTTAGCATTATCACTATGAGCATGTTTGCATTCTGATGCACCACTATGACCATGACGTCCAGAACCGCTAGCGTAGCTTCAGACTCATGGTCTTGTTTAATAAAGTGGGCAACAGGAGCTGAACTGTTTTTAAAAAAGCCCGTCATTTTAAATGAGAAGATTTGACGGTGGTCTTTACTACATCTACAGAATCCACTCAAATTCAAATTTTGTCTTTTGCCCCGTCCACTTACCCTCCCACCCAACCCGACACATACCTGACTGCCCATGGCCTCCATTTTCAGGGACATACCTCTGGCAACTTATCTCCTCGGAGATATTGTGTTGGTCTTGTTCTATCTAAATTGGATTTACTATAATCCTACAGTTGGAGTCTGTATTTCAATTATTGTTACACCTTTCTCTCTATTTTTTGGTAATTGCCTTTTACCATCTATACCTCCTGTCGCAGCCCTAGTCATTTGAGGACGAGGGATCTCTATTGAGTTTCCTGCCCCAAGTTTAATCCAATTTTTCATTAGATTTTTGAGGGAGGGTTTTCCCTGTCTCCTTTGTGATCGCTGGTTAGGTCTGGAGGTTGTTGTTGAAGCGGACCTTTAAAGCTCAGTGAGACACTGTATGTGATATTTGACCACACAAACAGACCTGACTTCACCTCTCTGTCTGTCTGCGTCTGCGAGGTGAGGTCTTCAGTCCCTTCTGACTTGTATTTCTCAGTGGAGTGGGAAGCCAGTGGAGAGTCCTCTCTAATTAAATGGAGGGTAGACACACGGTCTCGTCCTCTGAACAGAGCAGCCTGGTGTTTATATTAACTCCCAAAGACACTTGGCTGCTCGCACCGAAAACCCACAATACCCATATTTGGCCAAGAGCAGAGTTCGCCTGGATCTCTGTGTGTGTGGCTCTACAGCAGGTTTTGGAGACTTTCATTACTAAATGATTGAAATTAAGCCTGAAATGAACTTTCTAATTAAATGCCAATCTGTTTCTGATAATTTAAGATCATAAAATATCATTGTTCCTGAAGTGTATATACTGTTTAATGAAACAAAGCCCTTACAAACTGCAGCTCTGGCTGATTTTTCCATCAACACTTTGTATTTTCCTGCAAGCTTTAGGAGCCAATTATTCCACTGTGCTCTGGAAAATACAACATTTTCAGCGTGAGAAATGTCAAAATATGACGTGAAGAGGCAGAAAAAAACCTCCAGAAAATTAGCTGTTGCCTATATGACAGATGAGAACAGCAGATTAGGAATGTATACGCAGACAGACACTCGCATTAATTTGAACCAGGCTTCATTTTTCGCCACCCTCACACCTGGATCGACTGTGTGATTTCTTGCCCCTCAACTTTGTTGCAGAGCTGCAGGATTTTAAATGAAAACTCCTGATAGCTTTCAATTCATCTCCTGGGTGTGAGGTAGTTTTTGTGAGTGTAGACTGAGTGCTAGCCAAGAAGGACAGGGTGAGCGTTTTTTCTCTCTTGCTAAAATCATTCGACTGGAGGCTGTTTATGGGTATTGACAAAGTGTCAATAAAAAAAATCCCAGCATTTAACAGTGTTTCCGCGGCAGCTCTTACAGAGTGAAATGTCACAGGGTTTTTCATGACCTCCAAGAAGGAACTTAACTGTGTCTCTAGGCTGTTTCTCCTCGCTGCGCTCCTGATTTTGTTCCTCCCACTCGTGCTTTTAAACACACTGAACGCACACAGCAGCTTACAGATTTTCCACCGTGTAAACTTTTGACACTAAACTTCTATCCTTGCATAAAAGACACTCCATACTCTCTCTCACCTCCCTCCTTCTCTGTTTGATCAGGATCCCGATAGATGTGGACCCTCTGACAGTCTTCGCCTCCTTGTCCCCCGAGGGCGTCCTCATCATCGAAGCTCGGCAGACGCCTCCGTATTACCTCTTCAGCAACGAGGGCTCCCAGAGCGGCGAGACGCAGGAGGTGGAGGTCCCCAAACCCCAAGAGGCACAGATGGTCTAAACCCCGACCTTCTAACATGACAGATAACCCTGCACAATCACTTACAAGTTTGATATGAAATTTGTGGCCTTCAGCTTCATGTTGTTACAAACCTGGAATTAAAATGTGTAAAATATACTAGGAGATATTCAAGTCCCATTTTGCATGTTAAAGCTGCGCCAGGCAAGACTTTAATGTAGAAAATATACATTTTTACAATGAAGAGCCTCGTCTTTAATGGAGATAGCAAAGGTTTTTTTTTTTAATTCTCATTCACTTCTTTTATTTCCTCAATTAAGATACCTTCTTTTTTTTTCAATTAAGTGCAAAACCCAAAGATATTGATATGACAGAAATAAAAATAGCTTCCAAAAAATGTTCTGTCTATTTCAGTTCCATTTCCCTTTTTAATTTAAATTTAAACCCAAAGTTCATATGACCAGGACAAGCAGGACTCTTTAACTTCAGATCCTTTTTTCCCTTCCTTTTTTCCTTTCCTTTATTAGAAAAAGATCACAGACCAGCTGGTTTGGTAAACATGATTATGTCATCAGCATTTAACTGATGTCACATTTCATGTTTTCTAGGTTCTGAAGGTCAACATTTGTCAGTGTGTTAACTTGTCTTGTGCAGCTTTAATATTATACAAGGTTATGTAATCATAGCCTTCTCAGTAAACAGTAAGTTAATACGTGTCAACTTCTAAAGAATCACATTTATATTTGTATTTATATTAACATGAAGTTCATTTAGTGGAACAATCTTTGCATCAAACATATTGTACGTGATTCCTTTAGTTTAAAAAAAAAATATGAATGTGCCTTTATTTACTTGGGTGCCTTGACTTCTTCCAGTTCTACTGCTGTTTATCTCTTTTAGTTAATGAATGTCACTTAAACTGACAAGAAACGCAAGTTTTGTAGCTTAGCAGAGGGTGAATTGTGTGCAGTAATACTGTATTCTACCGAAGTGTATTGTAAATATACTTTAATATGTACCAATTCATTATAAATATTAAACTGAAGTGTTCCAGGTTTTTTGCAATATGGTTTGAATTTTTCTTTTCTATTTGAGTCATTCAGAAAGATTGCTGCATGATTGTTGGAGCGGACAGGCTGACTTGTTTGCCAAAGACGTTTGTTTCCTGCCTTCTTTTCTGTTGATGTCTTTGTCTTGGCTGATGCAATAAAAATGTCCAGCCAATCTCTCAGTGTGTCTTCACATCTGTGTCTTTTATTGAGAACCATGCCACTTGCGGGCCCGGTTCCAGGGATCCAGAGGAGCCTGTGGTGTTATTGTTGGATAACAGAAGGAATTGGGCAGCAGATTAGCGGAGGGCTTAGTGCTGGGTGAGAGTGGCACTGCTGTGTTCTGCAGAATGGGCCGACCACAGTTTAGGCGGCACTGCCAGAGCTTTTGAATGCGAGTGCAAAAAATTGGTGCAGTTCCATTGCATGTTGTGTGATGCAAAATAATGTAATCATCTCTGTGTTTTGGAATCAAGAGGGATGATCAGTTTGAATTTAAAAAGTTTCCAAACTGGAACAATAATGTGGAATCAACAAGGGGCCGCCACAGTTTTGGCTGTGCACAGGCGCTGCTTTGTGTGATACGCCAGCTCACATAGACTGTTGTATTTAATGGTATTAGATGATATGTGTGGACCTGTGCTCCCATGGCAACAGCATAATTGGAAATATGCCAGTTTCTCCATTGGTAAGTTACTCATGTAGAAGTGACTAATGCACAGCTGTGCAAACGTATAGTATCTCATTAATGTCAAAACCCCTTAGCTCAAACAGTATGATCGCTAATTACTTTTTAAATTTTCCACCCATATTTACAGAGGTTACTGTGAATATGATGCTCACAAATGGGACCGCTTATTTATATACAGCTGAAGAGGAAATTGAGAGGAGGTAAAAGCCTGTCGACATAATGACACCAACACAATATATAACATTTTCACATGCTATTGCTTTATTGGAGCTCCAAAGATGACAGTTATATGGCTGTTATATCTATTGACTAAAAAGCATCTGTAGACCTGATGCAAGGCAAGCTATGCAGGCTGTTTTGGTCAATATGTGGTGTGTGCAACATCTTGGTGATACTGTGTTTCTGTCTACTCAATGTGTACTTGTTTTATATCAGGAGCCTCCAGCTCCTGGCTCGGGACCTCGCTCAGTGGACTTTGGCCCTGCTCCGGCTCCTCAGGCTGGGTGATCTCCTCAGCAGCCTCCCCTGAGCCTGCCATTAACTGGATCTCTGCATCCACAGCTGGTTCTTCTTGTTCCGGCTCTTTGGACATGTCTGGATCTGGGCTTTCTTGGCTTCCCACGGACTCATGCTGCTCTGAAGATTCTTGAAGACTCTCTGTGCCTTTGCCATCATCTGCAGACACTGAAGGGAGGGACTCTCCAGCTGGCTGTTCATGGGTCTCCTCCTCCTGTTCCCTCCTCTCTTCATGCTCCTGAAGCCCAGCTGTGGCGCTGCCAGGGTGGGCCTCATCACCATGGACCTCTAGTGCAGACTCCTCCCCATGATCCTCAGCAGGCAGAAACTCTGGAGCCTCTGGTACGCTGCTGCTGTCTGGCTCTGTTTCAGGGGTTTCTTCTTTCTCATGTTCTTCTTCCTGTTCTCCAGTAGCATCCATCTCCATCTGTCCACAATTATGTATAAAATGAATTTAATGAAATGAAATGATTGATTTGCACATTAAATCTCATATATTTAATCCTTTAAAAAACCAAAGTGTGAAAATGAGAAGTTGTAGGTTAAATTGTGGAGGCTGCTCACAACCCATGCAACATTTTGTTATCACAAAAAGTAAAAACAAGTTAAACAATCAAGAGATGTGTTCATCTGTGAGCTTTATATAGTTACAGGGAGACAGATTTTATTACCTTCAGACAGAGACAGGCTAGCTGTTTCCCCCAGTTTCCAGTCTTTATGCTATGCTATGCTATGCTATGCTATGCTATGCTATGCTATGCTATGCTATGCTATGCTAAGTGAACAGCTGCTTAGACATTTAGACTCTATAGACATTAACAGGGGGTGGAGGTGGTGTGTTCTCATCTAACTTTCAGCAAGAAAGTAAATAAGCATGTACACACACACACACACACACACACACACACACACACACATACACATACATAGCTTTAAAAGTAAATAAATGTCCCGCTTCACCTTTATGGGAATGATAATGGCAGCAGGAACAGAGGTCTCAGGGACGGGAGCTTCCACAGTCAGGATCCCATCAACAGAAAGTGTGGACATGATTTTGGTTGCATCAATTTCGGCTGGGAGCCTGAAAGTGACAGGGTCATGTTCACAATGCCACTACAAACAATGTGCCGGCGCTTCCAATACGGTAATATCTAATTTTTCAGTTCAGTGAGCGTTTTAGAGATCAGATACTGCTGAAAACAGACCCTCGGTGCCACAGTCTTTGCTGCCGACTGTTGTTTGAAACGGCTTAAACTGAGTATGCTTCACCGTCTGCAGGTGAATGTCAGTGTTAACTTTGCATACCTGTATTTCCTTGTAAAACATCTGGCAATAAATCCATGTTCATCTGGCCTCTCCTCGTGTTTCCCTGGGGATGGATTACCGTTTATGAGGAAGAATGTGAGGACACACAGAGGAATCAAGCGACACAGAGAAACCACTCAACACAGAAATTAATTTCTGCCACAGAGCTGTGATTTTAATTTCCCCGGGCACATTATTTAAGCAGCTTTCTAATTTTGTTACATTCAGCTTCCTTTCCATCAGTGTTAAGTTCTTAGGGGTTTATTCTGTGAACTGTGAGAGAACTCTATCTAGATAACTCTTATACTCTTTGAGATAATAATATTAGATAGATAAGATTATTAATGTTGTATGAAAAGTAGAAACTAGCCAGTGTGTAAAAGTAATTAGCAATGTTAATAAAGTCAACTTTCGGAGCTGTTTAATTAACATAGCTGTGAGCCAGTGTTCTGTACCTCCAACCTCCAGGAATCCATCTTTGACGCTGAGACAAATCTCTGAGGGGGAGAAGTGAGCCACGTCCAGGCTGACCCTCCACTTGTACTGCTCCTTACTAATCTTCTGGCTGGGATGATGCATCGACCCAGAGATGTAGGGCACAAACAGCGGAGCGGGTATGTACCCTGGCCAAGCAGAGGCTGCCAAACTCCTCTGGAGCCAGTCCACATTCATCCACCAAGGGTCCCCTGGCTCCAGGAAAGGCGGCAGGCCAACATCCTGATTGAAAAGCCGGCTAGACTGCCACCATTTTCTCAGGGGGTACCAGGGGCCACCCCTGCCATACTCCCCACATGACAGCTCTGTTTTGGCCTGTTCACTCATATTTCAAGAAAGAAAATCACACAGAACAAAAAAAAACAAACAAACAACAAAACGAAGGAGAAGATGAAAAATAGCAGCCTTTGTTTGATGACAGTCAGCAAGTAACTTTTGGACTGTCTGGGTCAACTCGCTGAAATTAAAATTGACTTAATGAGTGAGGGAATGATACAAGAAAGATTTGCCAAAGCTAAGTGTGGTGAGACAGAGAAATCTCCGAGGGGCTTTATATAACGCTCCTGTCTGTTTTTCGCGCTTATTAAGCACTCATGCCGATCCCATGAGAAGGGTGTGTGGGCATGGGGTGATGGGTGTGGAGGGAAGGCCGCTACCTCTCGCTGGCCTGAAGAAGGCAGCAGACTAATTAGTTGTATTTATAACTTTTAAGGGCACCATGGCAAATAGCAGGCAGTTGGCCGAGGCCAGTTTGTGTTTGAACTGTTGCATCTGTTGCCTGAAGACTGTTCTTCTCACATCCCAGTGAACTCTATTCTGTCAGTGGTGACTGGGCTCCTCAGTCTTGTCATGAGCCAGTGATAGTGTCTCCTCCACCTGTGTTTCACCCCTCAAAGGGCACAGAGTGGCAACAGTTTGTCTGGAGCATGAAATACCTCTGCTAGAGGCTGGGGAGGACAGAAAATGCTCCTTTTTTGTGTTATCTGAAACGTTTCAGTGGCATGTGTGTGTATTGGGTGTATAAAGCTCTGTTCCACTCCATTTTTCTTTCGCTCGGCAGTTTCAACAGGATTATTATTGTTCCCTCTTTTATCAAGTGTGACAGACTTGTCAGTGTTTCATTTTTAGAGCCGTGTGCCCTGAGATTTTGGCATACTGTCCATTGGAGCACAAAACAGATTGAACAGATGTTTCTGACACTTTGTGTGATGCCTCACCCACAGATTCTGTCTGTAGGATACACAGTGAGAGGTTAGATTGGGATTCGATGTTGTTGTTGCTGCTGCTGCTGCTGCTGCTGCTGGGGTCGCCTGAAAAATGGGTTCCTCTGTTTCACCTATCATTAGAGACTTTAATCCTGTTCACATTAGAGGCACTCATGCTTTAATAAGGTGTCCGTGCTGTTGTTTAAAACTAGTTTGAGAAGTTAAAATGAAATTTGGAAAAGTTACAAGAAAAGATGATAAAATAAAATACATGTATTTTAGGAATGATAACTGTACAAGAAAAACAATATGGTCTTTATCGGTTTAAGTGAATTTTCAACCTTAGTATACATCTTAAACTCTGGGAAAGATACCACTCTTCACCATTTTTTAAATTAAGCAAACGCTCTGATATAAGGAAAGCTTAGTATACTCTTCCAGAAATAGAAAGTGAAGAGAAAATGGTGTTAATTTCTGCTGATTATCCTCTAAAGTAGCCTAAAATATATCACAATTAATGGTTCAACTAGCAGTAGTAGAAGTAGAGGTTTTTTTTTTTTAAATCTAATTTTACTCTGTATTCTCAGCTTTTGTTTGTTGCTCAGTGAGGTGAAATTTCCTGATGAAATGTGTGTGTTCAGGTTTCAAGCTAGTCCAGTGTGTCCAGGCAAACACCAGCAGCTGATTTCACTGATTAGTTCCTCTTGTCTGGTTGTTAATTAGTGGCAGAGGGTCGAGTCAATCCAGCTCAACAGAGTACTGGTATTTGTCTTTCCTGACTTCTCCAGACTTTTCTCTGTCTGCATCATAAAATAGATAATTGGCCACAAGGTGATTATAGTGTAATTTTTACAATTAGCAGGTTGAGAGCTTTCCAGGTTGATCTCACAGCTGCACGGACTGAAGACATGAAGCATGAAAAGGTAGATTAATGGACTGAGGGAAAATTGCTATTGATTCTGCAACATTA